AAATGAATGTCTTGGTGTTATGAATTGTTAATATTTCTGAAAAGCTGATAGATAATACTGTAATACTTAGTTTCAAGACAAATCTTTTAAAATATTGGATTAATTGAACAGTGCTTTTTCACTTCAGTTGTTGTTGTTTATCTGCTGAAATTGAAACTAGTAGTTAGTATCACTCTAATGTTCTTAGCAATATCTTGTGTTTTTATGTTCCCCCTGCATATTGGTTTGCCCTGTTTGTTCATCTGTCCATTCCATGCTTGTGAACAGGATATCTCCAGATTAGATGGAAAGGTCAAGGTTAAAAAGCCACTTGTGCATAGACAATCTTCCCCAACCTTGTGAACACATTTCAATTTAGAATGAATGGATATTGACCAGACTTTTATACAACAGGTATTCCATACAAAGTTATATGCCTGATTAACTTTTTAAGGTCGAGGTCAAAAGATCAGTGGTGCATAGAAAACCTGCCCTAATCTTATAGACATAATACATGAAGATTAGATGCATGGGTTATGACCAAACTTATACAATAGATACTACATCATCAAGTTTGGGAGACTAAAGCATACAGTATAACATTAGGGGGGGGGGGGTCAAGTGTTTTATCAACATAATTTGCACTTATCAGATATTGAAGCATGTCTAGAAGTGATTCTAAAATAACATTAAATATGGTAATTTTAAACCTTGTTGCCTCTTTGATGAAGTGGTTGGCAAAAAGCTGTTTTGCTATTATTATGTATCAGAATTTCAAATGATTTCTGTTGTGATTGATATATAACTCACAGATTTATTTAGAAATATGAATTTGATACTTATTTATGACATAGAAGTAAATTAATTGTTTTAACTTTCTTGTAAACTTTATAATTTCACAAAACTTCTTGAAGCTATTTTTTTTAATGTTTTAACTTAGGTATTTGGTTTAAATAATCATAATTCCATCTAAACTCAGTCTCACTTAGAAAGGTCAGTTATCTATATGGAAGCAACTCCTAAATGTTAGAAGCAGAAAATAACTCATTAGGTATATACTGTGTGTCACTGGATTATTAATAGAAATTCAGTTCATTTGTTGATGTTTCCTAGTCTTATTTCGTAGACCTAGTCAATTTTCTTTCATAGTTTTAACAGTATTTTTGTTACACAATATCATTGAACAACAAAAAGTATAAAATAAGATATTTTGCTGCTACCAAACAACATAAAAACATTAAAAATTACGTGTTTGTATATTATTCTAAATTAATGATTATCTAACACTTGACTGTTGGTTTAATATGCAATTAAATGTTGCCAGATTTTAGGTAACTAACAGGGAACAGATTTTATATACTTGAAATTTGGTGGTGGATTTTCCATAATGTGGGTCAAAATATTTACTACTTCTGGTTTTCCATGAATGCATTTATTTGTGTGTGTGACAAAAAATTGTATTGAAATATAAGACTGTGAAACTGAATTTCAGAACTTTTTCACACCATAATAATTTTGTAAGAAAGGTAAAAAAAGTACTTTGTTATAAAAAAAAACTTGTTATAACCAAATTTTTTGTAAATTTTCAATTAAATTTTCAGGGTACCAGACAGATTACTTTGATATATCTGAAATTCATTATATCCAGCCTCGATATATACAGAGTAGTCTGTAGATAATGGCCAATTTCTGTTAGATTACAACCGTATCTGTATGCTGGTACTGAAATATAAAACTGTGAAACTAAATTTCAGAACTTTTTCACATAAATAATGGCCAGTTTCTGTTAGATTACAATTGTGTATTTCCGCATGTAAATTACTCCATTCAATGAAGCATTCCAAATCATTTTGTTGCTGTATGCACAATATGTGTACTTTGTTATTAGAAACTGTGTATGAATTAGAACACTTTTACCTAATGTAAGTTTGCTTTTTCCTGCATTAGTGCAATGGCAAACAAAAAGATCAAAGCAAGTTTCTTAAAGATGCCAATTCTAGAAATGAAACTAATGAAAAGCAGGAGTCATTAATTGATAATAAAAAAACAAAAGTTGTCTGTCATAGCATCTTTAGAAACAATTAACAAATGATCAAAAGAACTGAATATTGCACTTGGCTGTAATCTTGACAAAAATGATCTTAAAGATGCCAATTCTGGAAATGAAACCAATGAAAAGCAGGAGTCATTACTTGATAATAAAAAAACAAAAGTTGTCTGTCATAGCATCTTTAGAAACAATTAACAAATGATCAAAAGAACTGAATATTGCACTTGGCTGTAATCTTGACAAAAATGATCCATCAGGAATAATTGAAATATGGTGTATGACATTCTTAGAATATGCAAGAAATTTGTCATATTGAATGACTATTTTAATCATAATTGAATAATTTGTTTCAGGCGATATAATCTTGGTAATATGGAATTTATTTAGCCAGCTGAAACCTTGCAATATATGAGAGAGAAAAAAGGGCATTTACAGTTGCCTACATTAGAATTTGTCTGATAAGTGTGAATATGGATGATAAAAGTAATAATGTAATTTTGGATAATATTTCAATCAGTAAATATTCTGTAACTTGAAACACCTGATTAGTGAGTAGCACATAGGCAACAACTATTTAACCCTTCGTCATATCCAACCATATAAGCCAAATGTCTTGTGCACCACTTAAGTGCCTCATGCCTGGTTTATTGTGGTCAAAGCATTGCCATGGTAATGGAAAAATACCCTTTCATGGGATGATAAGGGGTTAATTTCAATGGGCAGAGAAGGGGAATGGACCATTTATTTTGTCCAGGGCATTAAATTTTTTTTCCATAGAATCAGAGGCAGTTATTTTTTAATTTAAAAATATTTAATATTATATAGGAATAAGTCCAGAGTCAGAAATGTTTCTTTATACAAGAGAAGGTCAAGTCATAAAAAAAGCCTTCTTGAAGTTAAATGTTTGCTCTCATATAAATTATTCAAATGAGATACTGGTGAGTACTCTGACATATTTTTAACTCCATTATGTAAATGGAAATAAAACAGTAGAGGAAGAAGGGGTGACCTATGACCTGATATCTACATAACAATACAGACTGTTTACCTTAATTATAGTACATTTTTACTGCAAGACATGAGCATCTAATGAGCCATATAAAAATTTTTTAACTAAGCTCAACATTTTGGCAAGTAGGTTTTAAAGGCACTTGTGATTTTTTGGGAATGAGTTTAAAAGTAAAATTTGAACCTTGAAATAGAGCTCAATAATTTAACAGTATTTTATTAAAAATTAATACATTTCTTGATGTTTTTTCATAAAGCAATAATTAAAAAAAAACGATTTCTTCAAGCACTTCTAATTCAGCATTTTAATAGCTAAAATAATGGGAAAGGAAAGAAGTTTTTTAACTCTATGCGTGTTCTAGAATTTAATCGCAATCATAATGCTGATTTAATTATTACAAAAGTAAATTGAATGAACTCAAGAATATTATGTTGACACGTTTTAATCTTTTGTTGAAGAAAGATTAAATCATATTACTAAATTTTAACTAAAATTATTTAGAGCTTTTTTTTTCTGATCCATGGATTATTCGGTTTTTGGAGTAAAACCTGCAGCTAAGGAAAATGAAAATAGTTTTTTGTTGTTGTACAATAAATGAACAAATGTAATTTGTAATGTAATAAAATAAATGTAATGTTCATTTATTATATTTAATTGACCAGTTACTTCATGTTTTGTATTTTTTCAAGTCAAATCAATACAATCATCCAGTGTTAATACAAGTGATATGGAATATTGTTTTTGTTATCTTAAAGTGAGTTATAGGCAAGAGTAAAAACTTTATTTGCTCTTTACTTGAAGATTATTATTATTTAATTATTTTAAGATTAGCTTTAATACATTTTGCCCTCAGATAGTAAAATACTGTAGCATGATATGCAGTATGAGAAATTGTTACTAATGATATCTTAATTATTATAGAAAATAAATTTTTAAAGATGAGTAATTGATATTAACATTAAGTATACATGTATCCCTCATTGAATTAATATTATTTCTTGTTATAGAATAGCTTTGGCAAGTGGAACAAATGGTGTCTGGTAATACTTTCTAAACTATTGAAGCCAATGTCCAGATAATTAATTGGTAGATTCATGTGAACTACTATTATTTAGCAATTATGTAATCTTAAATTATTGTTTTGAAGATTACATTTCATGTTTCATATGGTGTATATCTTCAAGTTTTTACCTAGGAAACTAAGATTATGATAACTGTGGCACCAATCATTGAATACAATATACTAGAAAAAATTAAATATACATATATTTGTTTAATACAAATCATGTTGCCCCCCAGTGGCACAGCGGTATGCCTGCGGACTTACAATGCTAGAAACCGGGTTTCGATACCCGTGGTGAGCAGAGCACAGATAGCCCTTGTGTAGCTTTGTGCATAATTAAAAACAAACAAACATACAAATCATGTTTTTATGAAAGAATCTACTTCTATTACAAAAAAAATTATGAACAAATATGTAATGGAAAAATAGAAATTCCAAAAACCAATAAGATCATAAAGTGTGGTATATGCAGGTGTTGTGATATATAGTTTGTCAGTAAATTTAGAATTGTAAATTTCTGGCTTGTGCTGTACAATATATATGTAGTTTATTGATGTCACTGATTATTCTGTAGTCTAGAGATAGTTTCTAGAATTAATGGAATAAATGTTGATATGCATACATTCATTTACAATACATAATCTTTTGAGAAGAATATATAATTTACCAGTAAATTCTAGGTCTCAGTTTAAGCTCAGCATTAATCTAAGCACTTTGTGTTCAGTAGTAATTATAAAGGTAGTAGAAGTTAGAGAGATATTTTACTAACAATTTAACCAAGGATGCTAAGTGCAAAAAGAACAAAAACAAAAAAAAACATGCGTAACATACATTATCTAATTTATTTTGGGTATAATATTATGTAAAATTTTTTATTAATTTTAATTATTTATTTCTAGGGTGAGAAAAATAATGGATTTGATGTTTTATACCATAACATGAAATATGGCCAAACTGCTAGTAAAGAATTAGTAGATTTTTTCAGAGAGAGGTAAGTTGTCATGTTTTAAGTTTTATAATAAAGTATGTTGGCAATCAACTGTAAGTAACTAATCAAAAAAAAATAGCTTAAAATAAAGAATACTTTAACCAATAATGTAAATTGATATGAAATATATAAAAAAATTAAAACTTTTTGAAAGAACATTGAAAATATTAGGTCGTCAAGAAATTAGTTTTGCATTTTGGAACACTTTCATTAACCACCTCCCTAAAAAACGAACATCACTTATAATAGTTAAACGAACCACCTAAACATCACGTTAGCATTGCCTATATAATGTGTAAAGATTAGTGTACTCTAATCCTTTATAGTGATGGCACACGAAGAGACACAGATTTGGCATGTAATGCTGTTGAAATACAAGAAGGGAAACAATCCCTCTGTAGCCACAATGAATATCAAAGAAGTTTATGGAAATATTTTGAATGTTCATAAGT